ATATTAAGCACAAGTTCGCTCTCATCTAGAGTATGTACTGCTTTCCTGGATCGTCTGTCCCCCCCATCATTCATCAGACATTTGGACAAAGTGGAAAGATGGGCAAGAAGGCTCATCTCTAGTCTTGACCTAGTCTGGTGGGAATAGTCTAAACCTCAGAGCCTGGAACACCGTCAGGACGTTGGTAGCCATATTGTTATGTACAAGGTTTATATGGTCAAAGTTCTACACCTGGCCCAACTCCATTGACTACCAATAGTTGCCACCCATAACACTAGGCTCTCAACCTTCAATAGTTTCATGCTAGAACTGCCATTCTTTAGAACATCACTCCATCAACGATCATTCATTCCGAGGCTGAATCGCATCTGGAACTTGTTCGCTCAACAGGTTGATACACGGAAGATCAGGTCAATTGATCACATGAAGACTCTGGCACACTGTTGGCTACAGGCTCATCCTGTTCCTTACATGATTATATGATTGTTTCCTAATGTTGTTAATGAATAAAGGCTATTCCTTCCGATGCATATAACAGGCTCATAAAATAAATGGGTCTTTAGGAATAGGTTTCAATTGAGCTGAGGTAGGATTACAACACTTGCTTGAAGTTTCACCAGGTTCCTTATGTGATAGCTCCCTAAGGGATAGTTTCAAAGTACGTTCTCATGAAATAAGCAGCAGGCTTATCTAGGAGCAGGATTTAGATGAGCTGAGGTAGGATGACAGCTAATACTTGCAGTTTCACAAGGTATTTCATTCGACAGCCCTTATGACCCCTTGTCTTGGTTTAAAAAATAAAGGAGAGACAGGAAGACAGAGAGGAGAGAGATAAGAGAGAGAGAGATATGAGAGTGGAGAGAGATGTCCACTTTCCCAGCCTCTTGAAAGAAAAAAGTTAATATTTCAAGTATAATTTATCTTTATGTCATCCCTGTTCTCGTGAATGTTTCCAGGGCCGAGAAACTGTCGTACTAAAGTGTTCTTATCCTAACCCACCAGAGGACCCAAACCAGAAAACACAGTACAGTACATCCCTTTCGGGAGCCGCTTCCATTTTCTAGTAAGACAATTTTTGGCCTAAGGTAAAGTATACGTCAAAATGCGATGTTCTATTAGGAGGACGAGTTGGTGAGGAAGGCTGATACAATCATCCAAATCTGCTTTAAGAACACACACCGTTTTATAAATAACATCACCATAACTAACGTGTGTGATTAAAATGTTAATTAGGAAATATGTGCCTTGTGATGGGATAAAATTCTCGTTCCTAATGTCTCCAGGCACACGCACTTTTGTTTGAACTGCGATGTTTCATCATCCTGCAATATTTTCTCATAGATCTATCTCACTGTGATGATCTCATTGTGATTTATAATGTATATTCGATCATGAAATTTAAATTGACTTACTGGTATGTGGCCAAGGGCATGGATGCGATCACAAGGCAGTGCAAGGAGTCCGAGAAAGTCCTTGGGTAGCCACGAACCATCAAAATATTGTAAGTTTACAATCTTCTGAAGATCAGCATCGGACCCACGTTTCAAAATGTTGAAATCTGCTTTCTTATCCTCCTCTGCCTGCAATACACGAGTTATGGTTATCGAAGCATACCATTGTCGAATTTCTCTTGAGTTCACCTTGAAAGATTAGAAAAGCAATAACATTTTGCCTAATTACCTACTTTAAGTTATGTATTTAAGTTATATCAACCGAGACACAGAACAGAGACAATTAAGGTAGCCTAGTCAGCTGCTTTGCCTCTGATCATAGACCAGAGACAAAGAACATTTAGGATCTAGGGAGACCAAGTCATATTATAAGTGTGTCCTGTAATTAATTATCCCACATTGAACAGAGTCTATACAACTTGTTTGGTATTGAGTTTAGATTATTGACTATTTTACACATACTAAATACACAGTCATACACATACTAAGTACACAGTCAAGGAGTAAGGGTAAATGTGACTGGAAGCGATCATTGAAAATATCAAATGTGATTGCTTCCAGTCACACTTACCACTACTTCATAGAACAAGTTATATAACAGTGACAAGATTGTGTATATCAGCGCTGGAACTCCAACCATTGCACCATCAATATAGACGGTCGATAGTGCAGTTGTCAGAATACCAGCACTGTTGACAGGGAGACGTAAACTATGGTGCTATAACACGTTGTTATAACACAAATACCAAAACAGACTTTAGAACACATCTTGAGGTGTATAAGCATACATGCTGTACATTCTAATACATAAAGCAACAACATTATGCTTACATTCTCAGGTTGTACTTGGAGACCTGTTACTTTATTCTGCTGATTTGAATAGGAACTAGGAGGAGCTTTCCTACATTTTAAAAGCACCTGCAAAATACCAGAACACACATTACATATTTTATGTAAACTGAATGTGTGTAGAGAACACCCAGCTGAAAGTACACTATATTTGGTGATAAAGTTGCCTGTATACCTTAGTGAAAATTCACAGCGATACACAAGTTTACCCCCGAAGATACACAGGACTAGTGTTTATAACTGAGATACACTGGACTGGTGTTTATAACTGAGATACACATGACTAGTGTTTATACATGTGATGCACAGGACTAGTGTTTATACCTGAGATACACAGGACTAGTGTTTATAACTGCAAACCACAATGACAAAGTGATAGTCAGCATGAATGGCCAGCAATGGTTGAATTTAGAAGCTCTTTTTCTGACCTGGACAAAATGAGTGACAGGAGTACATGATAAAATTTTTAATTTGATTTTCAAAAATAATATGTAATGAAGTGGGTTGGAGGGAATAAAGATGGACTTGACAATATTATACAGTCTTTGCAAGAGCAATGACATTGGACATCATCAGTTACATTGGAATCACTGTCTAAAGCAACATGTGAGCACCGGAGCATATACTGGCAAAGTGAAGGAAGAATTTATGGCTCTGGTCAGCTGATATTAGAGCCGGCAATAGCCGGAAACCCCTGAGCCAGATTCATGAAGTAGTTACGCAAACACTTACTAACCTGTACAGCTTTTCTCAATCTTTGACGGCTTTGTTTACAATTATTAAACAGTTAATGAGCTCCGAAGCACCAGAAGGCTGTTTATAACAAAAACAACAGTTGATTGGCAAGTTTTCATGCTAGTAAACTGTTTAATCAATGTAAACAAAGCCGTCATAGATTGAGAAGAGATGTACTCCTTCGTAAGTGCTTGCGTAAGAGTTCGTGAATCTGGTTCTGGACACGGCCCGCCAAGTAGTCGTCTCAAAAAACATGATCGGAGAAAACGATGACGTCTAAATGACGTCATCATTTGCTCCATTTCCTGTCGTCGTTGCTAAATGACGACAGGAAATGATAGACACCGTTTAAACCTCTTTCAGGTCACGAACCTGAGAACAACAACACTGCCATTCACCCAGATGAAATAATAACAAACAATCGTTACAGTTTTCCAACTTACTTTGTTACGCAACGTTACAGGTATATGGTGGTAAACCTCATTACTTGAAGAGGAACTAGGAGAAGCCTTCCTGAAATAGCAAGGACCCTGCAAAATAACACAACAAACACTTCATAATGTGTGTACTCCATATATATATATATATATATATATATATATATATATATATATATATATGTCGTACCTAGTAGCCAGAACGCACTTCTCAGCCTACTATGTAAGGCTCGATTTGCCTAATAAGCCAAGTTTTCATGAATTAATATATTTTCTCTAATTTTTTTCTTATGAAATGATAAAGCTACCCATTTCATTATGTATGAGGTCAATTTTTTTTTTATTGGAGTTAAAATAACGTAGATATATGACCGAACCTAACCAACCCTACCTAACCTAACCTAACCTCTATTTATAGGTAGGTTAGGTTAGGTAGCCAAAAAAAGCTAGGTTAGGTTAGGTAGGTTAGGTAGACGAAAAAACATTAATTCATGAAAACTTGGCTTATTAGGCAAATCGGGCCTTGAATAGTAGGCTGAGAAGTGCGTTCTGGCTATTAGGTACGACATATATATATATATATATATATATATATATATATATATATATATATATATATATATATATATATATATATATATATATATATATATATGTCGTACCTAGTAGCCAGAACTCACTTTTGGCCTACTATTCAAGGCCCGATTTGCCTAATAAGTCAAGTTTTCATGAATTAATATATTTTTTCTAATTTTTTTCCTTTGAAATGATAAAGCTACCCATTTCATTATGTATGAGGTCAATTTTTTTTTATTGGAGTTAAAATTAACGTAGATATATGACCGAACCTAACCAACCCTACCTAACCTAACCTATCTTTATAGGTTAGGTTTGGTTAGGTAGCCGAAAAAGTTAGGTTAGGTTAGGTTAGGTAGGTTAGGTAGTCGAAAAACAATTAATTCATGAAAACTTGGCTTATTAGGCAAATCGGGCCTTGCATAGTAGGCTGAGAAGTGCGTTCTGGCTACTAGGTACGACATATATATATATATATATATATATATATATATATATATATATATATATATATATATATATATATATATATATATATATATTATTAAATATGACCGAAAAAGTAAGATTAATAATTCTAACACGAATTTTCTCAATCTTTCGTACATTTCTTTTCACTGTTGGAGGTAAATCAAAAATCAATTCTCCAAAATTCATTTTTGTTCTAGTCTGACGCGACACGAGCGCGTTTCGTAAAACTTATTACATTTTCAAAGACTTTAGTTTACAAATACACAACTGAATAGAACTTACGCATCTCCGATTTTATATCTACATTTTAGTGAGGTGGATGGGGTGAGGTGGCATTAATACGGTATTAATTTCATCAACACAAGACAGAACAAGAGTTGGCATTAATAGGGTATTAATTTCATCAACACAAGACAGAACACGAAACAATGGGTATTGAATAGAAGTGTTTGTAGAAAGCCTATTGGTCCATATTTCTTGATGCTTCTATATTGGAGCGGAGTCTTGAGGTGGGTAGAATATAGTTGTGCATTAATTGGCTGTTGATTGCTGGTGTTGACTTCTTGATGTGTAGTGCCTCGCAAACGTCAAGCCAATTAATGCACAACTATATTCTAACCACCTCAAGACTCCGCTCCAATATAGAAGCATCAAGAAATATGGACCAATAGGCTTTCTACAAACACTTCTATTCAATACCCATTGTTTCGTGTTCTGTCTTGTGTTGATGAAATTAATACCCTATTAATGCCAACTCTTGTTCTGTCTTGTGTTGATGAAATTAATACCCTATTAATGCCACCTCACCCCATCCACCTCACTAAAATGTAGATATAAAATCGGAGATGCGTAAGTTCTATTCAGGTGTGTATTTGTAAACTAAAGTCTTTGAAAATGTAATAAGTTTTACGAAACGTGCTCGTGTCGCGTCAGACTAGAAATAAAAATGAATTTTGGAGAATTGATTTTTGATTTACCTCCAACAGTGAAAAGAAATGTACGAAAGATTGAGAAAATTCGTGTTAGAATTATTAATCTTACTTTTTCGGTCATATTTAATAATATATGTCTACAGGAAAGACTGCTACCAAAATAAATAATATATATATATATATATATATATATATATATATATATATATATATATATATATATATATATATATATATATATGGCTGTGGAAAAGAAGTTCCTGTAAAATAGTCTAATAGGGGGTATATAAGAAGGAAAGTGAAACGCCATGCAACCTCTGAAGAGACAACTAACACAACACCTATACCCCCTATTAGACTATTTTACGGGAACTTCTTTTCCACAGCTCATAAAACGTAGGAAAGGGTCCTGAAAGATATTGTTAATAGAAACGTTATCCCTACAGACAAAAATCAGAGGATACAACTGACGATTTACTATAAAACCAGAAAAACGGCCAGCCTACTCATGGGAAACTCTCCAGACACAAAGCAGAACGCTTTAAAAGAGACCAACGTCGTCTATGCCTTCAAATGCCCTCTTGGGGACTGTAAGCTCCCAAAAAACCCAGTATATAGGCAAGACAACAACATCTCTTTCTAGGCGTTTAACGATGCATAAGCAACAGGGTTCCATTAAGGAACATACAATTTCTTCCCACAACCAAACCATCGCCAGAGAAATCCTAGTAAACAACACAGAAATCATCGATAGATATAGCGATTGCAGGCGGCTTGACGTTTGCGAGGCACTACACATTAAAAAGTCAACACCAGCAATCAACAGCCAATTAATGCACAACTATATTCTACCCACCTCAAGACTCCGCTCCAATATAGAAGCATCAAGAAATATGGACCAATAGGCTTTCTACAATCACTTCCATTCAATACCCATTGTTTTGTGTTCTGTCTTGTGTTGATGAAATTAGTACCCTATTAATGCCACCTCACCCCATCCACCGCACTCAAATGTAGATATAAACAAATCGGAGATGTGTAAGTTCTATTCAGTTGTGTATGTGTAAACTAAAGTCTTTGAAAATGTAATAAGTTTTACGAAACGCACTCAAGTGTCGCGTCAGACTAGAAATAAAAATGAATTTTGGAGAATTGATTTTTGAATTACCACCAACAGTGAAAAGAAATGTACGAACAATCGAGAAAATTCGTGTTAGAATTATTAATCTTACTTTTTCGGTCATATTTATTAATATATGTCTGCAGGAAAGACTGCTACCAATATATATATATATTTATATATATATATATATATATATATATATATATATATATATATATATATATATATATATATATATATATATATATTCATATATATATATATATATATAATATATATATACTATATATATATAATATATATACTATATATATATATATATATATATATATATATATATATATATATATATATATATATATATATATATATATATATATATATCCATGTATATCTTGTAACCATCATGTAATCTTATATAACCACCATGTATATCTTGTAACCATCAAATACATAATAAAGCACAAAAAAAGGAAGGGGGTGGTAGGAGAAAAGCACACAGAAACTGTAATGGAGGGGATCTAAAGATTACCTCACATGCGTTATGCGTGGTTTCCTCCGAGGCTATGGGTCCCCCTTCTTCCAGCCAGAGGTGGTACTCCCTTCTCTCTCTCTCTCTCTCTCTCTCTCTCTCTCTCTATATCTCTATATATATATATATATATATATATATATATATATATATATTGTTATGGCCCTATTGGGTCGCAACTGGGTTCTTCTCTGATGTTATTAGAGTTAGGGTATCCGGCCCCAAGTTAGTAGTGGCTTTCAAGGGGTGTGTTCCGTAACGCAAGTAAATTAAAGTGGAAAGGATACAAATGCACTGCTTTTGTATATATAAAGCTACACCACCATAAATAAATATATCAGTCACACGCGGGGTTGCTATAACTACACTTATTATATACAGATTAGTCTTCCTCTGAAGACACAGGATGCTCCATGGTGCTCAAGATGAGTAGCCCTGGTTCTCTTCGTCGTGGCTCACGATGAATCCTCTGATTCTCTCGGCGAATCTACCCTGGCCACAGGCCAGCCAAATCACAGTCCCACTGGGTGCACCATCGTGGAGGCCTTCAACCACAAATCCAGCCTGTAGCTGGCAGGTTCCAATCAGCTCCGCTGTGTAGGCCACTCCACGACCGATACTAGGGTTGCGAGCCCTAGGCAGGAGCCTCGTGTGATTCCGCAGATCACTCTCCTCACCACAGTGGCTAGTCTCTTCCACCAGCCAGCCCCCAGATAAGACGAATCCTGGTACTGCCACATCACAGGCAGGCTAACACACTCAACAGTGCCCATCCAGGGGTGACTCACAGCTTCCTCAGAGCAAACTCGTGGAGAGACTATGGCTGCCTTAGGTAGACTGATCCATTGTCCAATACAGCAGTCCCAGGTCGACTCTGTAATCAGACACGTCATTAGTACTTGGGACACTCTAGGACACCTCACTTACAGACTTAGATACAAACGTCCACCTATCCACTCCATAGATGGAGTTGTTGTCTAAGCGCCACCTCACCAGAGGTCAGTAGCGGCTATGTTATGAGCTGGTTAAGACGGGAATCCAGCCCCTGTGGCCGGTATATCCCGTCCTCACTAGATGGCGTCGTCCATTTGGAGGGGGTTTCGGGAGCTGACCCACAGATGGCGTTGTCGTCACCGCTCCGTGCCCGGACGCTAGACTCGGGTCCGTAACACCTCCCCACCAAAAGAATTTGGTTTAGGTTTCTATAAAAGAAAAAGCAAACCAAATTAATACGTTGGTACAACTCCAAATGGACTCACATACTCTATGAACTGGAGTGGCGAGGATGTCTTGTCCGAAAAGCTGTCCTAATGAGAGACTCTGGCATAAATGAAACTTGAAAATGTAAGGCAATGGCCTGCCTGATGTGATTTCCCACACCTTCACTGAGATGTCAAGCAGGGGCATAATCTCGCGTGCCTCGAGTAAGGATCGGTATAGACGCGATCTGGGGTGAATC